ACATGCGTGAGTACCAGTTCGTTCCTTTCACCAAATAACGTCCATTGCTGGATAAAGGACTCACAAGGATTTTCACAACGACGCATCTAGGTGTATTCCGCGACCTTTAGTAGATCTTCGGTTCACCTAGTGGGAGGCCTATTATTATTGCGTAGTATCTGTTGTTATATTTTGTTAAATAATAGACCAGTCGTGCAGTCGTGACACGCTGCATGCAGCCGCTGCACGTACTATTGGCAACTGCTTTAGATGTGCACCACGCTTCGAAATAGCCTTTACTCCACTAGTCATAGAAGGTATAACCTGTGGTATAACTAACAAGGTTTTCTAATCTACCATTTATACTACAGTAATTAACTTAATGTTTACAAAAAAAATACTGCAAGGCAAGGTCAAGTTTCTTGTCTGCCTTACCCTCATTCCAGCAATATGTGAAATAAATGAGGCAAAAAATAATACAGTGATCAAGCCGCGCTATGTCGGCGGATTAGGTGTGATGGGCTTTACACTATACGATTTTCAAAATTATAAAAAATCAAAACCTTACATAATGCTCCAATAAAATTTTGGATAAAGGATAAATCATCATCATCATTTCAGCCACAGGACGTCTATGGCTGAACATAAGTCTCCACTAAATGATTTTCACATCGCCCGGTTGGTAGTGGCCTGCATTCAGCGCCTTCCTACCGCCTACCTTTATGAGGTCGTCGGTCCACCTTGTGGGTGAACATCCCACGCTGCGAAAAGAAAAAGGACATCTCTTGCTCTCATTTCAATATTGACTGCCGTAGCCGTTTAGACCGCAAAGTATGTTTTGTGTACATACTTGGGTCGTCACGCAAACAACTCCAAAACTAAACATCATGTTACTGTTAAACACAATTTGGACTACAAGTCGACCCATGTAATGCCCCAGTCAGAGAGGACAAGCAACAAATGCCCGCCAAAACACGCGATTCGTCATTTAGGGAACAAAAGCAGCCCGATTTATTTGCCCGAGAAATGGCGCGCTGACTTATTAATCAGTGCGTAATATGAGTGTTTGCTTGAGAAATGTTTCTTTCAGCAATCAATATAATCTACTGTATTATGTACTACATAATGTCTGGTTATTTGAGGCCAGCGCCTTGTAAAATCAGGTCATAAGCATAGGTGTTATGGCTTAATGCGGAAGACATTAACGCGCGTATCAAGGGCCTAACGCGGCGGTTAAACATTTATGGGTCATTCCACAAAAATATGTCAACTCTTAGTCCGCGCCACATTTGACATGAAATATTTGTTAATATTTTATTCCAAAATTGTTAAATAACAGCTCGCAATGTGCTTTATTCATCACCCATTTATATTTTTTGAAACTATTTTTAAAACATCTTAAATTCCTTTTGAATGACCCAAAACGTCATTCCCTAGGCATGTCCGTACTCCAAAAGTTTGTGTTTTGGGACCCACATTTATAAAAACATCAACTTTATCCTTTGTTTTAATTAACGAATAATCTATTTAAATGTATATTACACCAAATTCTATTAATATTTTGCGGTTTCAATAAACAATAATTTGATTTTCTTTAGTTGAAAATGAGTCTACAGTTTTTAGCGTCATTCCCTCGCCACGTACTGATTTTATAATTTTGCGCTTTNACAAAGGTTTTATTATTGTTGTTTTTAATTTATCCGGATACACACCATTTTCAATGCAATTGTTTAAAATGTGACAAAGTACTGGTGAAATTAACTCTGCTACGTTTTTCAATATTTTTGTGTGTACGCCGTCGTAGCCTGTACTATTGCAATTCTTAAGTGACATGATAATTCTATCTATATCTTGAGGTATGCAAGGTCTTAAATATATTGTATTAGGAATATTGTTTAAAGTCTCATTATTGTAATTATTTTGTAGAGTGTCAGCATTAATCGGTTTAACCACGTCTATAAAAAAGTCATTAAATATGTCAGCAATTTTTTTTGGGTCAGTAATTTTTTCATTATTCACGGTCAAATGAGATATATTTTCTCTAGGCAAATTACTTTTAGAGGAATTTATTACGTTCCAAGTGGCCTTTGATTTATTTAATGAATTTTTAATGTAGTAATTGTTTTGTGCTTTCTGCGTTAGGTTTATTATACGTTTAAAACGGTTTGAGTACTGTTTAAACTCGAGTTTATTTTCCGACGTTGGACATTTTCTATATTTCCAAAGTAAACTACGTTTTCGCTTGCTGCATACTTTTATACCTTTACTAATCCATTTTGGTTTCTTTATGGCAGAAAGTTTAACTTGTATTAATGGGAAACATAGATTATACAACAAAATTAAAGTATCGTGAAAAATGTCAAAAGCCTCATTTGGGTCGTCAGAATCATATACATTATTGAAGGTTATTTGTTGTAATCCTTCCTTGAACTTACTAAAATTTTCCTTATTATAGTCTCTTCTACTTACATACCAATACTTTAATAAACATAGTCGTTTTGTAGGACATTTTAATAACTGAGCTTTGTGATCTGATAGAGCAAATTCAAGAATCTCACTTTTACATCCGCGGACATTATGTATAATATTGTCTAAACATGTCCCACTGGATGCACGTGTTATACCTTGTATTTGTAGTTTGAGATTATAATTTAATAACATCTGTTCGAATTCTGTTGTAACTTTGTTTTTTACCAACGTATTAATATTAAAGTCACCACATATCACGATCTTACTTGTTCTATTTATAAATTTTGCAAGTAATTCATCAAGTTTAACGAAAAAAATATTAACAGTCGTTGACCTTGGCGGTCTATAAATGCAAATTACAATTATGTTTAGTTCAATGAGTTCAATTACACAATATTCAATAATGCCCAGTAAGCAAAGACTGCTAACAACCCTGAATTGGTGCCCGTGCCTAACCAAAATACAGGATCCTCCTCTTCTTACATTTCTTGATGAGTATGTAGCCAATGTGTAGTTAGGTATGGATAGCTGTGCTACATCACTTTCGATCATGTTGTGTTCAGTAATACATAAAACATCAATTATTCTTTCATTTGAGTCAAGTTCATCCAAGTTTACAGACAATAGGCCAGATTTACTAATTAATCCATCAATATTCTGATGCATTATGTGTACATGATTACACACGAAAAAAACAGTCATCACTCGCATTTGTCACATTACGATCAGATATGGCTATCGTTTCTTCAATATTTCCGTCGGTGTTCAAATTTTCCATATTATTTGGTTGTCGTTTTCCCGTCATGTTGTCCTTAGAATTTGTCAAGAATCTGGTAGTGTTAAAATACTGTTCAATGTCATAAATCTGATTTAATATGTCATTAAAAATTGTCTGCATGCCCCTATTATTCACCATGCCAGTTCTCTTAAAAAACATGCTGTGATCGTACATTAGGTTTAAGTTGGAGTCGACCAAGTATGCATGTTCATGTGTTGTGACGTCCAGATATAAGAGATTGTTGAAATTCTCTATTCTGCTGTTAAACATATGCATGTAATTCCCATATTTAAATGTAGGTAAGCACATTATAATATTGGTATGTTTTACTCCTTGCAAAACCTTTCTTATGTGTAAAACCAAATTGATATAATTATGCGTGGTTCTAAAGTCTTCCTCGCCTAATAAAATAATACAGTAATCCTTCATAGTGTAATCAGATAACTTTGTATTTAGTCCCTCCAACATTTGTTTTATACCTGAATGTGACATCAGGTAATGGCAGGTTTTAAAATTGTTTGTCAAAGTGTTTTCTGCAATGGCCAGTATACGATTACTTTGGTTTGAACTTAATATGCATATTTTATTTTTGTATTGAGCTTTGGTAGTGTCCACTGTCTTTAAAGCTGGCTTACTATGGTGGCAATTAGTATTTTGCAAATCCGAGGCGTTTTTAACAGTTCTACTTTTTTCATATAAGTATTCAGTTTGTGTATGTTTATTTGATGTCTTCGTTGAAGTAATTGTCTTCACTTTATTGACTGGACTATTCGTTTTTGGAGAATTTGTTTTAAATTTCTTCACAGGGCTTTCTGTGACTTTTTTGTACAGTTCATTCTTCCGTACTAAGTCGTCATTCATATTTTTCAATTTATTGTTTTCTAAAGAGAGATGTTCAATTTCTGTATGTGCACTTTGCAACTGCAGCGTAAGTTCCTCTATTTGTTCCTTGTATTCATTCAATTGTTTATTGTAGTCATCATTAGTTATGTCGGGCAAGCTACCAGTAGTGTCATCTAGCGTTGACTCATAGAAAGTTTTGTCTCTCGAGTCAGATTGCGTCCGTGTGCGTCTAAACGTTATGTTGTCAGAGGAACTCATTATTATTGTATAGAGAAACAATTTTAATTTCTCACAAAAATGTTGACGAAGTTGAGGTTTGAACCCACGTTTCTTGAACGTTTAGCGGTCGCGGCAAAAGTCAAGTATCGAGACCACTGCGCCAATCGTCCATATAGTGCCGTGTTGAAATTAAGCTTTAGTAGTCAATTGATTTGCAAATGTTCGTTATTTTGAGTCATGAGTTAAGAAATTGCAAGTGAATAATTTCTTGAACTGCCTTACAATTTAGCACTTATAAATCACAAAGCTATTTTCACTGCTTATTATTATAATGTCGATTTATATTTAGTCTCATGTCGCACAGCACAATAGTTCGTGATTATTTAGTTGGGTTTTTAATTTTTGTAACACTGTTTTTATGCACTGTATTTTCACTGAATTGTAACTTTTTGATGCGATGCACAATGTTCTGGATAACAATGTCACTGATTGTCTGTATCATAACACGCAATATAATACGTAATAATGTCAATATTATACACTTTAAACTATTTTAAAATTAAATTTTCCGCGGAGCCCATTGTTGACATGACGGCAGCGCCATCTTTCTATGGNCAATAATGTACATACTAGCGATTTATTACCGTGTTATGGAGGTGAATATGACAGTAAGTTTTGTTATATAAATGTAATAATCAATAAAAAACTTTCTTGTAAATATGATGTAAATAATGAACTTAATTCTTGGGAAGGCTATAGACAAATATATACTGATGGCTCAAAAACCGAAGATAAGGTTTCTATGGCATTTTATGACTTAAATGTCAAGATTGGTCATGGGATAAAATTACCATCTGCAGCAAGTATTTATACTGCCGAGGCATGCGCAGTGCTGGCTGCCCTGGAGTACATTGAGTATTCAAACGTTGAAAAATGGATAATAGTTACCGACAGCATGAGTGTTTTAGAAGCTTTGTCGAACCCGTGTCATAACGCAAAAACAAACTATATTATTTTTCAAATAAAAGAAAAATATCACAAACTATGTAACATGGGCAGAGATATTATTCTTTTCTGGACACCTTCACATGTGGGCGTGGTGGGCAATGAAGAGGCAGACACTTTAGCTAAGCTTATAACAAACACATCAGATGTAGTACCTGTTAAGAAGATCAAAATATCATATACAGACTGTTCAACCCTTTTAAAAGAACTAATGAAGAAAAAATGGCTAGACCATTGGCAAGAAAGTATTCAAACTAAAGGAAAATGGTACCACCAGATTAACCATGGAATAGGAAAGCCCTGGTTTACAAAAGGAACTTATAAGAACAGAAAGTTTTATTCTTACATATCAAGATTAAGAATTGGACATGGCCGTTTTAATGAACATCTCCACCGGATGAACATGATCACCTCCCCATCATGCTCATTCTGCAATCAAGCTAATCAATCCCTCCATCACATATTCTTCGAGTGTTCTATACAGTGTGAGTCACGTTAAAGTGTACATATGAAAATAGATGAAACTAGACCTATTTTTATCGACAAAAAAGAGGTCAAAATATTTTTAAGATTTTTTTAAAAAAATTTATAGAATTTTTTTTCTTCCAATTACTTATTGTAAAGAAAACGTAATAACTTTTAAACTAAGCGGTATATCCTGATAAAATAAAAACAGTAATAATGCTAAATAACAGGCAATAGTAAAAAAATACATAAAATACACAAAAAATGCCAACAAATAATAAAAAATGAGACTTTTTGAAAAAAATCTGCTTAAAAATTCGTATTTTTTTGGTTATTTGATAAATTTCTCAAAAAAATGCCCCTATAATAGGTGGTTTTTATTACTTTGTATTATTCTCTATCGTATTATCTTTGTAAAACCAAAAATCGCATGTCTCTATCCCTATCACAACATTTGCTATGATCGTTTGAACAAAGGCCTGCCACAACATTATTCTCCGCTAAAGGTAGAGACAATTTTAATTTTAACTAAAATGCTTATTTTACTTAGAAATCTTTTGTTTTTATTTGAAATCTAACTTGTCTTTATCAAAATTACAAATCTAGAGCCATTTTCAGTTTCGTTGTCAACGAAGCGTTGAATGGCGCGCCCGGAGAGGCTTAGTTCAAACAATCATTGCAAACGTTGTGATAGGGATAGAGACATGCGATTTTTGGTTTTAAGAAGGTAATACGATAGAGAATAATACAAAGTAATAAAAACCACCGGTTATGGGGGCATTTTTTGGAGAAATTTATCAAATAACCAAAAATAAGAGGAATTTTTTAGCAGATTTTTTTCAAAAAGTAACATTTTTTGGCCTTTTTTGTGTATTTTATGTATTTTTTTAGGATCGCCTGTTATTAAGCATTATTACTGTTTTTATTTTATTATGATATACCTCTTAGTTCAAAAGTTATTACGTTTTCTTTACAATAAGTAATTGGAAGAAAAAAAATTCGATAAAAAATTTAAAAAAAATCTCAAAAAATTTTTGACCTCTTTTTTGTCGATAAAAATAGGTCTAGTTTCATCTATTTTCATATGTACACTTTAACGTGACTCACACTGTATTTTCACTCCAAAGACTCATTTTGATAGAAGACTTATTACAAGTTTATAAAGAACCAGAAGTCATCCCGCGCTCTCTGCCTGATCTTCTCAAAAATGAAAACTGTTTCGTAGCATTATACAAGTTCTTAGTTACCACTAAAGAAGAAATTTGAAGAAATTCAAATCCGAAGTTGAAGGGGAAAAAATAATATTGAAGGGAAATTACTCAGTCGGCTTCAAAATGAAAATGTTTCCTCTCTCGCGCCGTCTCCGTGAATACAAACTGATGACTTGGCTGTATGGCGAATGCCTTTGCCTTTTCCTGCAAGAGGAAAGAACGAAACCAAAAAAAAAAAAATCAATACTTGTCAATGTCATCTGTCATTTCCCTTCGGTCATAGGTCGGTCCGGCTGTTCAATTTCTCATTTTTTCGATCGCTATTTGCAAAAGATCAAAGGTATTTTTTTTATTGATTATTTAATAGAAACCCATGAATGTCCTATGTATACTAAATTCTTGTTGTCTGTATCAGTAATGAACAAATAACTCTGACTATGATACTGTATTGCAATTCACAGAGACCGGCACATTTTTCGGCAATTCTTAATTTATTACGAATATATTGCGTCATAATATATCTATGTGCTCTCTAAAGATCCTGACTGCGACTGCACTTGTCGGGAATTCGATTTCTTGCAAATATCTACATCATATTATGCATTCTGTGAATTTTCCAATTTTACTTTCTTAGTGCATTTTCTGTATAATTTCCCGACCTATTTATATTGGAAGTGTAGGTATATTGTAAACACAAAACATTAAATTGTTTCTATTGTACAGTAATTCACCATGGACAAGTTGCAATTAGTATCGTCCAACAAAATCTTCGGTGGGTACCAGAAGGTGTATAGCCATGAATCTGCAGAATTGAAATGCAAGATGAATTTTTCAATTTACCTCCCACCCCAGGCCGAGGGAGATGTAAAGCTGCCAGTCATTTTCTATTTGTCTGGACTTACATGCAATGAACAGAACTTCATCACAAAATCAGGGTTTCAAAGGTATGTTGACATATAAAATTAAATTGGCAAAAAGTTTTAAAAAATTTGCTAAAAAGTTAAGTTAAGAACATAGNGTTCATAGATATGTTGACTATCATTAAATATACAAAATAAATGTGTTTCACTGATATTAAAAGGGCTGTTATGCAAGAGAATTATTCAAACAACAGTCGCCTTGTAAAGAAAACCGCATAAAACATTGGAATTTGTAAATAAACTGGTAGTTTCGTACCGTACACATATTTACCTCTTTACCAAGTACCGCTACGAAATCAATAGTAATTATCCTTTTTCTTACACTCCATCTATAGTTAATAATACATTAGTGTGGAAATTACTAATTTAAAGAGCTTGGTGATGAAGTTATTCGCAAAAAACAAGAAATAATACACAACAATACAAATCGGCAACCATTTTTTTGACAATATTTTTTTTCTTATTGGCATTCCAATTTCCATTTCATTTTCCATAGAAATCATAGAGAAAAGTAATACAATAGAAATGGAAATTATCGTTTTTTGGAATTTTACAGCCTTGGACTATTTCATTTGGCCATCATTAGTAGTAGTGTTGTTATGTTGAAGAAAATTATATCGATATTATCAAAGAATCGACTTAGTAATTTGAGATACACATTATTGTTTTTAAATAGCTAATTCTACTTATTATATGGACACTTATATGTAAATAAGAAACTAAAATGCTTGCTTATTCAAGAGCCTTTAGAAATGACGAATCAAAACAACAAATCAAGATACAATACAATTTTGTTCTAGTCAATTTATGTGCAGTGGGTCTAGACAAAGTGCACTTTTTGATCGAATCGAAAATCGAATCCGTCAAAACTCCATACAAAAAAAAGGCTTTTCGACCACTTTTCGACTGGTTTGCGATTAAAATGTGCACTTTGTCTAGACCCACAGTTCATAGTGATATCATTAATCTTAAACTACGTAATAAGGCCTGTGTAGGTAATTAATTAAATTAATAAAATGTGGGAGTCAAATTGTGTTTAATAAGCTAGTTTATTTATTTATTGTGAAACAGGTCTGCTGTAAAATAAAATACCGAAAGATTAAATAAATAAAGGGACATCACTACTACTCGCATCACATCACATCACAGGAGGGCTCGTAATTTTTTAGAACGCTTCCATTGTCAGCTGTCAAAATAATTTATCAGAAAACGCATCTTTACCGATTGAGAGGTAAAATCCAAAATAAATCAAAGTAAACTTAATCACAAACAGTGTTGAAAATGAATTTCCCTAATAAAATACCATTTTTATTTTACCAGGGCCCCTCAAATTCCAAGCAAGACTATGGCCGAAGACCTGGACTTGAAGCTCGTGTTAAAACATCTTGCAAATGGCACGATTTGTGAAAACCTGTGTATAATTTGTTTGAAGCCACTGACCGACGATAGTGAAAATATTTTTACGAAGATCTGCAAGGAAGACAAGGAGTATTGCATAGCTGATGTTTTGAGGGACCTATGTAATATTAAGGTTAGAATTTTCAATTTAATTTCTCTTGTAAATATTTAATTCAAACAGACACATTTTAAAACATTACATTTCTAAAGATTTCAGATACTGACCACTATAATGCGTGCTCAGAATGCTTTATTGCCGCATCAAATGCTTACAAGTTCTATGTAAACACCTTATTCAACGATCAACTGCTTCACTACTATGCCGATGAATTGGAGTCCTACCTCAAAACTATAGATATGGCTGATGATATATCAGGAGAGTCTATTTGTATTTCATTACCTGTAGTATCACCGGAAACCAGTTTTGATTATGATATTCATAGTCAAGCAAAAGGTCATAAAATCATGGAAGTTAATAACGGAACAGAAAATGACGTAATAAAGGAATCCCCAGTCAAATCTGAAAAACCTCAAAAGAAATCTAAAATTAAAACTGGAGAGGAGGACTTTATTATTGTCTCGAAAGAAAATGAGCAGTCAACGTTTTATAAAATGCAGCCCAATGGCACGTTAACTAAGTTAGAATACAAATTAAAACCCCGTAAGGATAATAACTATGCAATGATCAAGAAAAGGAAGAAACGTGAGCCCATGACCAGCAAAAAATGCACCCGGTGTCCTATAAAATATAGATTTACGGCTAAACTGAAGCAACACATGAGAAAGGAGCATGGCGTCACATTATATTCTTGTAAGGTGTGTATATTTGGCATAAATAAAAAATTATTGATTACGAATATAATCAATAAGTTAGAAAAACAAGTTCTACAATAATTGTTGTAAGAATATTGCTCTAAAAAAGGCATATTCATGATTTCAATTAGATTGTATAATTCATATTTTGATTCAAAATCAATAATATGTAACTTATTTGTTGATTTTAGGTTTGCGATGCACTTACAGAGGATCAGGAATTCCATAAGTTTCATATACAAACCCATACAAACATATACAGATGCGACATTTGTACTGTGACCTTTAAAAAACGTGATGCAATAATAAATCATATGAAAGAGCACGCGGTGATCAGACATATATCATCGGACGACGCTGAATATGTGTGCATGCAATGCGGTATGATTTTAGCAGATGAGAAGTCTCTATTAAATCATACTAATGCAAACCATTATAAGAAATACGCCTGTTACTATTGCGGACGAGTTTATAAGGGAAAAGTCAGTTATGATAAGCATATTGAGAAGCATGAAATGTATACCAAGGCGCAGGAGAGGTAAGTTAGAAAAATGTACAAAAGTATTCAGAATTGATGGTAAAGACTAAGACTTCACAGGTCCAAAAATGTTCATAACTATCCCTACTAGAGATTAGGTCATACACTCCATTTATGGTAAAACTTTTAAAAAGGGCTATTGTATATGCGCTCACTAGCGCCTCTGGCAATTATCAATTAGGGTCCTGTCACTTGCCAGTGGCGCCATCTAGTGCTATAATAGCTTTAATACAAAGCCAAATATGGTTACCTACTTGTATCTCCCTTGAACAGATAGTCAGCGTCAAATAATTCGTGACACACAAAGTAGCCAATAAGTTCGCACATTATGAAAGTGCGCACATTGGATCGGCCGATTCTTTATTTTCAATTTAAAATCGGGCCCAACTATCGGCCGACTAAAAGTCTGTTTTCTGCGGGGAGTCTAAGGTTTTGTTGTCAACTTTTTGGCCACTTTGGGTGACACGAACTATTTGACGCCGACTGCAACTCATATTAATATGGACATAGTTACATTTAGCATTTAACTGTAAGTTGTTATAAGAGTTCGAGTTGCTTTTTTGCTAAAGCAAAACAAGGCAGGTATTTCCGCAATCGCACCTGGTGTTAACTGAGATGCAGTCTAGGATGATACATATTATTATATGCCCTGTAAGTGCTTATTCACTCTCGCCTTGAAAAGGCCCATATTGTTCAGGAAAAACAGCATCAAGCAGCGAATTCAAGTCCCTAACTGATATTTTATCTGATATCTTCCAGACGCAAGCAGCAAGAGAAGCGTCCATTCACGACCGCAGAAGCTAAGAAGCTGATCGCAGCGAACGAAGCGGAAGCGAAGAATAAAGACTACACTTGCGAGCTTTGTGGCCGCGGCTTCCTGGGCCAGCGGGCACTGCTGTGGCACAGCCGGTTACATACCAACGAGCGCCCCTTCACTTGCGACGTGAGTGCCTATTGCTATTCACAGGCTTTTATGGTGTACATAAAGTTAATATACCTAGCGGAATAGAGCAACAAAGGACGGAGCGAGCGAGACGTGATATTTTATTTTTATTTTTTTCTTTATTCAGAAAACCACAGCTCTTTATTATAATAATACAAACAGGCATTTTTGTTCTTACAGCCAATAATGGATTCTATATATTACAATCTCGTAAAAAACAGTCAAAGGGGCAAAAAAAAGAAACATAGGCTTGCATGCAGGTTGTGTGTGTGTGTGTGTGTGTGTGAGTGTGCGTGAGTTTTCATTTACCTACCTAATAAGTCTTTATGGGAAATAATGCTTCAGAAACGTCGACTGGTCCAGTGATTGATTTATTGCACTAAACAGTGAAATAATCCTGACACTGACACACAAATGACATCCAGTGACATCCTAAAATCGGTTTCGTTTGACAGGTCGTAGTCTGTCATCTTGCACTGGAGGGAAGAACCTTAACTTCGAACTCCTATGTTATTCTGATTGAATCCGTTGCGGGTCTAATGACAGTTTAACTTTCCCGGGACCAACCTGACCTTCACTGCTTGAGTTATTGGCGGTCAAGCTGTAGGTCCTGGCCACACAGGAGTTGCAGCGGTGGGAACGAAAAGTGGAAATAGTCCTAGGCACTTCGTTCGTTTCAGCCAAATGATGTCCACTGCTGGACAAAGGACTCCTCCAAGGCTTTCCATAATGATAGATCCTGCGCTGCCCGCATTTTATGAACGTCACAAAAAATGAAAAAAGTAGTCCTCAGGGGACACCTTTACATGTCTTTGAATTATTTTTTGAACCCTGCCAGCGCTTCGAGACAAACATAAGCAAGTTTAACTTTTCCCGGGAAAAACTTGACCTTCACTGGTTGGGTCTAATTGGCGGTCAAGCTGTAGAATCTATAGCTTGACTGCCAATAAAGACCCTGTCTACAGTGTAGATCATTGGCGTATCTAGGGTTCTTTACGAGGGGAGGGGGGGCGTGTTCCTTGCAAGCTGTAGTTCCTGGCTACACCCTTGACGGCTGACCACATTTGACTTAGATCTTAGATTGCTGTTTACCGTCTTTAGCGTTCACGAACTGATGCTTATTTACACACTGCCTAAAGTCAAGCAACGCCCAAATATTATCTGCTACCGATTAGAAGATGAAACTTGATAGATTGAAATTGAAACTCATTCATGAGCTATCATATGATAACTAATCATTGCATTTCAGGGGCCAGGCCCCCCCTGGAAAATGATCCTAGATACGCCAATTGATTGCGGTCCCCGTCTCTATGGTGGCGAGAATCGCAACCTTAACTCATGTTTTATCACAGATGTGCGGCTGCTACTTCTTATCTTATCGCTAAAGGTTCGGCTAAACCAACGCGATCAGCCGGCGTGCAGCGATGGCGATCAATGTATTTAAGTATGGTCGCCATCGCTGCACGCCGCCGCCTGATCGCGTTGGTTTGGCCAAACCCTTAAATCTAATAGCTCTGTGACTATAACTCATGTGCGGAACGCGGACGCGTTGTGTCGTCGAGAATGGAGCTTGCTTACCGAGTAATGTCTTATGATTCAACCACACCAACGCGTGCAGATCGCCATCGCCGGCGCAATCATAGGCCAATGACAGGATTGACAGGTCGCGTGAACTGTCATTGGCCTATAATCGCGCCGGCGATGGCGATCTGCTGCACGCGTTGGTGTGGTAGGTATCGTGGATTTAGTTCCAACGAGACACAATTTCAACGGGACACAATTTCAACGGGACACATTTTCAATCAGACACATTCCCACGTGGACACATCAATTATTGTATCATCAGTTAAATGTTTTAATGAAAAAAATAAAAATAAAATGTGTTAATGTTTAACTTTATGCTCTGAATGATTGAGTCTGATGTCGAATCAGCGGTGCACAGTAAAACCAAAACTGGTTTTTGTGACACCGTCAATAGTTATAATTAATATTTGGAAATGCTATGTAACTTGTTTTAAATAAAATAAATAAATAAAAAATGGTCATGGGTATGTAGGTACGCGAAGATGCTTATTTCTGTTTTTGTTTTTAATTGTAATAAAATATAGTTATTTTAATGTTCATACTTTTCATTTCACTTTCATTTATTCGACTGACTGTATTGTGTCAGTTTGCAACTGTGTCCACGTGGGAATGTGTCTGATTGAAAATGTGTCCCATTGAAATTGTGTCCCGTTGGAACTAAATCGTATCGTGGCAGACCTGTCGCCGATAATAATTTGTCGTGTCGTGTGCTGACGTGCGGGCGCGGCTTTGTCTCAGTGAACCGTTGTAACCAGCACGTGCTGAGGGCACTTTTATCTTCTATCATTCCTGACTAATGCGTGTCGTGTGATGATAGGACGTACGTCGCTGACTATAGAACTAGCTCTTCAACTAACATGTGTCGTGTCTACAGACGTGCGGGCGCGGCTTCGTGTCGGTGAACCGGCGGAACCAGCACGCTCTGACGGCGCACACGGCGCCGCTGCGGCGCTGCCCGCTGTGCCCCGCGCGCTTCCATCTCCGCTCCATGGTCAACACGCACGTCAAGAAGGTATGCGATCATTAACATCACCGTTTCATTACTGTCTACTGTCTGATAGGATGTGTGAAAGCGCTTTTTTTAACTAATTTTTTTTACAAAGACAAAGACATTTATTTGCAAAGAATAGGTTGATACAGATAGTGTTGTAAATACAAAGTGCTCTATTCTGCTAAAATACATTAACATGCAAATTTTTGTCCAGAAATTCCTGAACACTGTAAAAGCAGGAAGTGGTTAGCCATTCCCTTTTATGATTTAAACCTATACAGGGTGTCCCAAAAAGTAGTGTCAAGCCGAAACCCAGAAGTAGAGCATCACTAGGGCTACCCGAATCGAATCATCGTGACTTTTGATAGTTTTCGAGTTATGATTTTTTCACAACATATTTTTTTACTTTACATTCGTGTTATGGATGTAAATACTTCTGAATCAGCTAGGCCATCTAATATTAAAAAAAAATCAGACATGTACTACCTTACCTGTTCGCGTCACAGTGATTAAAAAAGTGCCTAAGCACAGACATTTGAAACAATCATAACTTGAAATTCGCGGAACATACAAGGGGGTGATTTGGATCACTGGGCTTCAGCTGGACACTACTTTTTGGTACACCCTGTATATTTATTTCTTGGCGAGAATGTGAAACGTCGTGTCTGCCATTTTTTTCCCTCCCCATTGAACTTAACTGAAATCTCACGCGGACTTCTTGACAGAATTTAATGCTTTGTTTTACTGTTTGCCCGCAGCTCTCACCACGCACAGCTTTATTATTGCACACTCCTGCTTTCCTTGACTTGAACATTATGCCTAGTTCAGTCTCGCTAGCTTCAGTATTCTTTAGTAGTCTTTGGCTATTCCCAACTCTATTCCCAACAGTAGGCTTAATTTATGCGCCAATAAATCACAGTAAATCACGCATTTGATATACTTCATATTATTTTTAACCATTCTCCTCCGAGTTATCTGGAAAAATAGCTTCCGCCTACCCGCGGAAGTTCCGCCTAAATTGTGCCTTATTATTTCGGCTTTTACCCGTGGTCCCCCCAATATGTTCCCAGTGCGGTGGGACCATGGTTAAAATAAATTACCCGTAGACCCACTGGCAAACATTGTTCAGAACGGTGGGACAACGGGTAAAAAAATTACCCGTGGACCCACCAGGGGGACATGTTGGGGGGACCACGGGTAAAAGTCGTATTATTTTGGCATTTTTTAAAGTCGGTTTTGTGTTATTACGTCAGGTTCATTTAGCAGCGCATAAGCGTCGTGCCCGAGCGCGCACGCGTTCTTCGCACGCGCCCGCCGCCGCGCCCGTGCCCGTGCACGAGCTTAGTGTCGCGCTACAACACCACGTGCTCGCGCTACAGGCCACACAAGAGGATAGCAGCTGAGGGTCACTATCATGGTAAGTTATGGCGACATAGTGAGTTTTACGGCGACTAAGACCAGTCATACAGAAACTGCTCAAGCAGTAACACTGCCAAGTGCACCTGGCAGCGCAAACTGCTCGAGCTCCTTCCTCCTTAATTAACATGTGTCGTCTCGCGTAGACGGATGAGACTTACTGAGCTGTGTCGTGTCGCAAACGTGCGGCCGCTAAGCATAAAGATAACATGTCGTGTAGCTAAGGCAGCGCAAACTGCTCAAGCTGGTACTCAAGCAACTTCTTGAGCAGCGCACAAGCGCAAGGGCCCGTGCCCGTTCATGAACTCAGTGTCGCGCTACAACACCACGTGCTCGCGCTACAGGCCACACAAGAGGATAGCAGCTGAGGGGTGAGGGTCACTATCATATTCATATTCATTTATTTATTGCATCACATATGTATGTATGTACATAAGGTATCATGGTAAGTGTTACAGCGACATAGTGAGTTTTACGGCGCGCTTGAAGCCACGCTGAAGGACAACAGCTGATAGGGTGGCATCAACCATGGTAAGTAACAGCGACTGAGACCAGCCATACACAAAGCAAACCATTCACCACACTAGCGCTGCAGGCCACGCTGGACAGCAGCTGAGGGTCACTATCATGGTAAGTGACGGAGACTAACTGACTTAGACCCGCCAAACATAGACTGCTCAAGCAACTGCTTGAACAGCACACGAGCAGCTGATAGGTCACAATCGGTAAGTATTAATTACGGCGACTAAGACCAGTCATACAGAAACTGCTCAAGCAGTAACTCTGTCAAGTACACCTGGCAGCGCAAATTGCTCGAGCTGTTACTGTGCTAGGTTTGGCAGCGCAAACTACAGGACAGCAGCTGAGGGTCACTATCATGGTAAGTAATAGAGACTAAGACCAGCCATACACAAACTGCTCGAGTAGTTACTTTGCCAGGTGCATCTAAAGCCCGGTCCGTGAGCACGTAGAATTTTGTCCAATGACCCCAAGCTACCCATCCTTATCGCTCGCGCGTAATTATATTGCTGTCGCGACTGTGCGACGCGCGCCCGCAGTGAGTGTGCGAGCGCGATAGCGTCATAATTAGGCGCGAACGATAAGGATGGGTAGCTTATAACGGACCAGACTATAGCAGCCCACAAACGTTGCGCCAACGCGCGCTTCAAGCCACACTGAAGGACAGCAGCTGAGGGTCACTATCATGGTAAGTGTTACAGCGACATAGTGAGTTTTACGGCGAAGACCAGCCATTTCATTTCAGTTCCATTTCACCATGCTGGACGACAGCAGCTGACGGTCACTATCATGGTAAGCGACGGAGAATAACTGACTTAGACCCGCCAAACACAGACTGCTCTAGCAATGACTCAAGCAACTGTTTGAGCAGCACACAAGCAGCTGATAGGTCACAATGAGGGCTATCGTTTTTATACTTAACAGTTGGCACCCCTGGCGATTGACAGGACCTTACTCTACAGTGGCGCCATCTTGATGAGTGCAAATGCGATAGTCCTCCTACCACTTTAGCGCTCACCAGTTGGTGCCACTGTCTTCGCTACTAGCAAGTGACAGGACCTTACTCTACAGTGGCGCTAACTGGTGAGCGCTAAAACGATAGCCCTCATTGATAAGTATTAATTACGGCGACTTAGACCAGCCATACAGAAACTGCTCAAGCAGTAACTCTGTCAATTGCACCTGGTAACGCCAACTGCTTGAGCTCCTTTCTCCTTAACTAACGTGTCGTATCGTATCGCGTAGACATCCGCCGCGTGTTGTATCTAGCGCAGACAAGAATTATTTCTTAGTCAGCGCCAGAGCAATGTACTCGGTTCGTGTCGAGCTGTTACTGTGCTAGGTCTAGCAGCGTAAACTGCTGGAGCAGTTACTCTGCCCGGTGCATAGCGTCGCGCGCGTTCTACTCAAGCGCCCGCCGCCGCGCCCGTGCCCGTTCATGAGCTTAGTGTCGCGCTACAACACCACGTGCTCGCACTGCAGGCCACACAAGAGGACAGCAGCTGAGGGTCACTATCATGGTAAGTGACAGAGACTAAGGCCGGCAATACACGGACCGCTTGAAACAGTCAGGGTCGACAGCTTCAAGCTGCGACTGCACAGTGAACTGCAGAGTTCTATGGACGCACATACACGAACCGCTCGAGCAGTTGCAACTGATTCGGGCGGTCGACAGCACGGTGAATTTTCATCGTGCGGTCAAGCAGTCGCCAGCCATACACTGACTGCTCGAGCTGTCGACAGCTTTTGCGCAGTTAGCTCCGCCCACTTTCTTCATTCCACGGCGCGCGCGCTTGAGATTTGTTGAGCAGTTAATACCAACTGCTCGAGCAGTTGTCACTGGCAGCTTCAAGCTGTTGGCTAAGACCAGCCATACACAGACTGCTCGAGTAGTTACTTTGCCAGGTGCATCTAGCAGACCACAAGCGTTGCGCCAACGCGCGCTTCAAGCCACGCTGAAGGACAGCAGCTGAGGGTCACTATCATGGTAAGTGACGGAGGCTAACTGATTAAGACCCGCCATTCATACACAAACTGCTCGAGTAGTTACTTTGCCAGGTGCATATAAAGCCCGGTCCGTGAGCACGTAGAATTTTGTCCAATAACCCCAAGCTACCCATCCTTATCGCTCGCGCGTAATTATATTGCTGTCGCGACTGTGCGACGGGCGCCCGCAGTGAGTGTGCGAGCGCGATAGCATCATAATTAGGCGCGAGCGATAAGGATGGGTAGCTTATAACGGACCAGACTATAGCAGCCCACAAGCGTTGCGCCCACGCGCGCTTCAAGCCACGCTGAAGGACAGCAGCTGAGGGTCACTATCAATGGTAAGTGTTACAGCGATATAGTGAGTTTTACGGCGACTAAGACCAGCCATTTCATTTCAGTTCCATTTCACCACGCTAGCGCTGCAGGCCACGCTGGACAGCAGCTGAGGGTCACTATCATGGTAAGTGATAGAGACTAAGACCAGCCATACACAGACTGCTCGACATTGGCGTGTCTAGGCTTCTTTTTCCCCTGACATTCCATGTCACGGGGGGGTGTGACTAGATTCTAAGCTCATGGTTAGTACTAGCACCTACATCTTCAAATTGGTAGCCCAACATCCTAGGGACGAAGACAGCAGCTGATGGTGGCCTCAACAGTGGTAAGTGATAATAGGATGAATGACGGCGGCCATTGATTTAAATAACCGACACCGGCTCGNGCAGACACTTTAGCTAAGCTTATAACAAACACATCAGATGTAGTACCTGTTAAGAAGATCAAAATATCATATACAGACTGTTCAACCCTTTTAAAAGAATTAATGAAGAAAAAATGGCTAGACCATTGGCAAGAAAGTATTCAAACTAAAGGAAAATGGTACCACCAGATTAACCATGGAATAGGAAAGCCCTGGTTTACAAAAGGAACCTATAAGAACAGAAAGTTTTATTCTTACATATCAAGATTAAGAATTGGACATGGCCGATTTAATGAACATCTCCACCGGATGAACATGATCACCTCCCCATCATGCTCATTCTGCAATCAAGCTAATCAATCCCTCCATCACATATTCTTCGAGTGTTCTATATTTTCACTCCAAAGACTCATTTTGATAGAAGACTTATTACAAGTTTATAAAGAACCAGAAGTCATCCCGCGCTCTCTACCTGATCTTCTCAAAAATGAAAACTGTTTTGTAGCATTATACAAGTTCTTAGTTACCACTAAAGAAGAAATTTGAAGAAATTCAAAGCCGAAGTTGAAGGGAAAGAAATAATAATAATTACTCAGTCGGCTTCAAAATGAAAATGTTTCCTCTCTCTCGCGCCGTCTCCGTGAATACAAACTGAAGACTTGGCTGTATGGCGAATGCCTTTGCCTTTTCCTGCAAGAGGAAAGAACGAAACCAAAAAAAAAAAAAACAAAAGACAATCAACACTTATTAACTTATTATTATTAGTGCGGCGGCAAAAAATATACACTTTTGGACACATCTATTGGCCCACCTTGTATTTTCAGTTTCGTTTGGTCCTAGCTAAAATTTTATATCAGGTCGAGCAAAAAGTTTTTATGCAGTTTTGAACCTGGCACATTCACAATTTCATTCAATAGTCTTTTTTTGAATTTCGAACACAGAATTTAAAGAAACAAAAGACAATTAGAGCCTGTTTGTTGATATCAAACAATCGAATACTTACTAAGAAAACTTGGTTTTATTGGTTTACTTGGATTTAATTCTTGTAAAGTGATTGATATCTTTGGTTTTGCGTCCAGAAGTGTAGAAGAGATTTTGAAGATAGCTTCCTAGTGATAAGACCTCGAAAATTGTGTCGTTCCATCTTTTTTGTTTCGAACCTTTGAAAAAAGGTATAATAACCAGGTCGACTGGAAAAGATCGCTTCCTAACGATAATACTATCTGAAATTGTCCGCGCTAACTTGTCAGTTTATGTGCGGGGTACAATAAAGAGGAACTATCTTTATATCTAACGTGTTTTATAGCTGAAAGTTAATAAAGTTACCAAAAATGGTGTGAGACATATTTATATTTTATTAATATAAGTGCGATTTTAGGGTTCCGTAGTTCTGACAAGGAACCCTTATAGTTTCGTCATGTCGTCAGTCTATAATTTCTTACTATTAATAAAAAATCCTTAGAAGAAAACATTAAGAGTGATTTAAATGTAGCCTACCTATTGCTTGTTTTATTTAATGACGAGCTACTAACTGTAGTAGCTCGTCATTAAATAAAACAAAAAATAGGTAGGCAGGGGACTACCCCTGCGCGTGTCACGACATACAATTTTTCGGATTTCCTCCGTAATCTCATCTTTTGAATTAACTTGTACGAATATTGGTTATGTACAGAGTTAGCTGACCTATGTAACTTCATTTTATGGCATCACATAGCAACACCATTAGGTTTGTAATTAAATAAAGAAGCACGATTATAACTTAGAAGGGGACAAGTTATTCCCTTCGGTGGCTGTAAAGCGGTTTTAAATTGCAATCGTAAATAACAGAAACAGAATCAGCATTGCGACAACTGCCCCGCACGATTTACGATTATGCCGCAAAGGAAACCGACCCGAGAAACCGTTATAAGGGTGAGTGTATAACACACATAACGCACAAACGCAAATTGAACTGTTATTTGGCGAGAATAGCGAATCGCGTGGCTTTTGTTTGCAGCTGTTTATGTGGAAACTTCTACGCTGTTTAAGTTCACCAGCCTGATAAAATCTTAAAACTAGGCGCAGACCACCGATTTTTAGGTGGGTTATAGTTGTGCCCGATTTAAAATTGTATGAAGAATCGGCCAAATCAAATCGGTGTAATGTGCGCACTTCCATACATGCCCTTACTAATCAACAGCCCGACTAAACTATAGGTCGACGAAAAATCGATGGTCTGCGCCTAGGTTAACGATGATTTTACACGTCAAAATGTATGGCTTATAAGCTATAGCTTAAAATCGCATGATAAAAGCTTATCGCGGTGCGCATCCTAGGCCTACAGTTCAGTAGTGAAATCGGTAAATATTGGTAAGCTGCTATCAACCTGCCTAACCAAACCAACGAAAGCTTTAATTCTTCCGCATAGACTCACTCTCACACACTCACCAGACTCACATGGTTTTGGATCTTTCCATAATCCTGCAGATTGATGCTGACCTTTTATTAGTTATATTACTTTCTTTTATTAAGTACAGCTAAGTAAATGATCTTAGAATAACGGTGAGGTCTTTGATGAAGCTAATATTTTCATAACATAAGCCGGTCATTCATGTGTGGACACAACCTAAGGGCAACACACATCGCCGCATACATATTTAACAGCGCGAATGTGCCTATGTCACGCGGGACTCGCGTTACGTGAGCGGGCTAGACCTACGCGGCGTGCCAAAGTCGACCAAAACACCGAAGTAACAAACTTTAGAATAATTGAGGCAATTCACACATCAGTGTCAAAAAAAATTAGGTAATATTAGCCTAGGCCCTAGCTCATTCATGCGTACACCCTTAGGGCAACACACATCGCCACATACATATTTAACAGCGCGAATGTGCCTATGTCACGCGGGACTCGAGTTACGTGAGCGGGCAAGACCTACGCGGCGTGCCAAAGTCGATCAAAACATAACCGATCGAATATTGGAAGATCAAAAATTGCTATTTACACAAGTGTTGATGCAGGCTACCTTTTCACACGAAGATATTATATTACTTACTTACTTAGTTGAGCTTAATTTTTAGGGCTCCAAACCTACTTTTTTATTCTACAAGTCTCAATGAATGAGCCTAAATTATTTAAACTCTTTAATTTAATCAATTAACCAAACATGTTAAGCGGTACGAGGAAATTTTTAACTACGTACTTAGGTAGGTACTTATCTCTACATTTTTCCGATTTGAATCGGAATGAAAATTTTCGCTGGATCACAGAATCCTAGTTCTTTTGTATTTTATAATAATATCGTCAACAACATACCGACGAAAAAGGTTGGCACAAAAACAAATAGTGTTTATTTTAGTCAATTTTTTTCAATTAACGGATTTTCAAATATTTCCACGTCCAGGTAAAATATTTCCGATATAAATCAAACACCATTCATCCGAATGGCTGTACATGAAGTGCGAACGGGTGCGGATTTGAACAAAATAAACTATTTCGTTGGATGAGTTACGAGTCAGCATTTGTGAGATACTAAACCGAACTACAACGAGTATTTTTCCATGATTTTTCTCTGTACATGAACAAAAAAGTTCATACATAACTAATGAAGTATCTTCAAGCTTATTTACACTAAATGCGATCGTAATTTAACACTGCAGAATTAAAATGTAAATAAAACACCTGATCAATGTCAACCCCTGGATGCGGGTAATCATAATCAAATCATCCAGCCGGTCGTCCAGCAGTGGACGTCATTTGGCTGAAACGAACGAACGAACTTATGTCACCCCCATACAATGGAATAGCTAATTCTATGCCGCAGTAGGCCATAAGTAAGGCTAAAATTTTATTATAGAAACACATTTAAACACGATATAATTTGATCAAATTAACTACAGTAGTAAACCATATCTTAAGTTTTTTGAAAAATCACTCGTATTCACAAGTACTTAGGTGCTAGAACTTGATATGCTTGATCGTCCTTACCTATTTCAAAGTTGCTTCAGAATAATCCTGAAAAACAAAGTAACAGTAATTTTCACTCGAGAAAATATTACTGAGGTAATAGAAGGCTGTAAAACTTTCCTAGTTTAAAATAATAGGCTTTGCTCCAGGGGCCAACTAATGTTGAAGTCTAGCCGTTAGCTTCCCAAAGGCCTGTGGCTAGCGTGTGGTGAAATATTATAGTACAGTAGAAGCATGAAAATTATAATGTACAGTCGCGGAATGAAAAGGTTCGTCACCTTAGTGTCGGTTTTCGCTTGCACTAGGTAGGTACTGTGAGAGTCAAACCTGCCAACATAACAGTGCAAGAAACAGTGCTGCTAACATTTAAATAAATATGACGTTTGCTAACGATTAAGGTTTTGCTTGTTTATTTTTCTATCCCATCAGTGCAATGCAATGATGACATTGACCAATTGACAATAGTTTTTTTATTTAAAAGAAATAATAATGGCAGTTTGAACCAACAAGAAGGTTTTAGTTTATCAATCATAATAATCTTCTTGACAAGATTAATCGTCAAACAACGTTGATCTGAATAATTTTGAACTTTACTGACGAACAGTTAAAGATTATTTTCTCTAACTCGAGATTATTCTGTAACATAGTTTCAAAAGGTAATATGTGCTCGCGATTCGTTGAAGGAATCAATTTGAAAACTGACGAACATTTTCATTCCGTGACTGTACTAGCATTTTACCGCGGCTTAACCCGCGCGAAGTTTAGTTGTTAAAAATCGTCATAAATTATAGCCTATCTATATGTAATTCTAGGTTATGAACAACAGTACTGTAAAGTTTCATCAAAATCCGTTTAGCAGTTTTTCCGTGAAAGAGTAACACACATGTTCACATCCAGACATCTATACAAACTTTCACATTTATAATATTAGTAGGATGTGCCAATAGAAACTCGCATTTTAAGCAACAAAAATGGCGAATAAACGTGACACTGGTGACACCAACCTGTTCACGTCTAAAGTGACTTGTGTACATCTTTGAGGAAGTAATATGAAGGATACTGACACCCGTATTCATAAACGATACTTGCTTATGTGAAGCTTGCTGCTTCGAACGCACAGCGTTGAATAGAGCTCTGTGATTGGTTCATGTGTGACCCTGTGCGTCCACGAGCACTGTGAGACCACATAGCAATGTTTGTGAATACCGGCGTGAGACATTTGGATATTTATTTAGGTCGATTTTCATGATACTACTAGCTGTGCCCGCGACTTCGTACGCGTGTTTTTGCAACATTTTTATTTGATGATGTTAAATAATATCCAGTTTCTATTGGCGCGTGTTTACAGTGTTTGTGTTGATGTGCTATTATTTGTTTAATATAGAAGGGTACATTAGGGCTCTAACACACGAGCAACACATTGACGATGGCAAAAGCGACTGCAGTCGCCCTCAACCGTCGGCAGCTATAAACTCATAACTAGAGATGTAATTGACTAAATCTGACCGGTCACGATGGTCAAATACCATAAATGATCAAATTGACCGTTTTTGACAGTTTAATGTTTTTAACCAATTTGACCGTAAATGACGGTCAGTCAAATTCAGCCGCTTTAGTCATTTTCAACACTACTCATAACGTCTCGGCTGCAGTTACGTACATCGACAGCAAACTGCTGTTCGTGTTTTAGATCCCTAATGTTACATCGACAAATCTTTACAAAGCAAGAATGGAAAGAAGAATAGAGATACCGATGAAAGGTGAAACTTCAAAGAACATAC